GAGACCAAGACGTAGCATAAGAAGTGTAAAGTTAGACTAGTGTTAGTAGCCCTTTCGGCGCGGCCGCCGGGCGTAAATAAATTGTGTGTGTGTACGCTACAGCAGTGTTTGTCGCAATGATGCGTTCGCCCGTGTGGATTGCGCGGGCTGACTGCCTTCTTAGTGGGGAGATGCGGCACGAATGGATATGGTACGATACTGCGAGCTAGGGCGAGAGGTTACAGAACGTGACGCCATCCTGAATCACAGCTAAGGTTCGCACGGCATACATTGCCGGTTCTTGGTAGTCTTTGCAACCCTGGTGTGTGGCGCGGATAACATGTTTTTTACGCGATGCAGATGTTATGCAGGCTAATAAGATCCTGCAGGATGCGAGCAATTATGTACGGCGGCTCAAAGCAAATTGCGTTGCAAACACGCTAGTGTCGCACCTAGGTAGTGCGGCAGCGCACATCCCGATAGGCTGGTTGATGCAGGTCGTCAACTTAGAGTTCTGACCAGGCTTGGAGTATCCCAGGACGATGGAGAATGCTTATTGCAGCGTTAGCTGCTATCACGGTTGGTTTTCGACGAGGGGCTTCGTTCAGCCCAAATCGCGCTCCGATTAGCTCTGAGAAGCTCCACTCTCATTAGCCAGATCCAGCGCCAAGATGTAAGGAACCATCTCTTTCAGCTAGCGCAGCCCACGTGACAATCACCAACACCGCGATCAACGGCAAATAGCCCTCTACAGGAGCCGCCGCAGGTATACACATGGGATAATACGCAATGATGCTGAAGGGGCGTAGGCATGTGCTTGGTGTGGGCGTAAGTGTACTAAGCCGTAGGTAGTAAACAAACAAATCTACAGTCAATTACCTTTGTATGTTGGCTGTCTCTCACTCAACCTACCTGTCACTCTCAATGTAATTTCCAGCTGTGAAATTTATCGTTGCCTATTTTTACGAGCATCGTCTCCTTATCGCATTCACCGCCTGCGTCGTACTCAAACGCCTGCGTGCTTTGACTGCGCCCTGTGCGAAGAGAACCAGCCATTTCATTCACAAGACGCTGACATTGATGTATGCCAGTACCGTACGAACAAGCTAAAACGCAGGGCGCGAGAGCGTGAGGCAGGACGTGTCAAGACTGCACACTTAGTTTATCAGCTGCTGATTGGCTCAAGAGGATGATGGTTTTAGTTGTTCACATGAGGAGCCATGCTAGGAGCAGCGTTTCATCCATGAGATAGCAGGAAGCTCGGGGTGGGGGGAGGAGTAGTAAACACAAGCGTTCGTTGAACAAACTCTCTCTAAAAGAAGAAAAACATTAGCAGAAGCTCGGGATGTACCAGGTCTGAAGCGGGGAAGTGGTACGTGGGCGAGATAGAGTAAAGTGAGATACAGTTCGGATTTTCCGAGCTTAAGCCCCACAAAGCTTGGAGATGAAAGCATTCCAGCTAGCAGCCAGAATGCAGGGCTGCTGAAGTCCAGATGCTCTGGCTACTAGTGCGGCCATGCACAGGTTAGGTCTGAAGCTCGGAATCCCCTAGCTTTCCTTCAGAAGGGAAGGACTGGTAGAGAAGGGCTGGGGGTAGTATGTGATGAGGATGACCAGAGAATGTGGCATGCTCGTGGATTCTGAGTTTTGCCCCCAAAATGTGGGATGCCTTAATCAAGCAATGACTCCCATCTATGGAAAGGCACCAAGTTAGAGAACTATTGCCATGGTTGAAGGGCCACAGAGCAGAAGATCCCGAGCATCTAGTTAATCCCAGGTTGATGGTTGGTTGAGGGAGGATGTGGGCAGCTGGGGAAGGGCATGTTGAGAATTCGGAGCGTGTTCCCTCTGACATTTCAGGGATGGAGACATGCTTCCGCGTCGTCGCCCTGCCAGGGCTCTGGGTCCGACCGCATCGTAAAAACCGAGGTTTCTGTTGAGTTGTTTTCAGGGAAAAGAAACGCGTGAACTTCGTTGAAACCGGGAGTACTTACAGCGAGATTTGGCAACACCGAAAACAGCATACATGCAGCACAACAGCAGCAGCGACAGCGACAGCGAGGGCAAGGGCGGCAGTGGGTTGTGGTGTAGCAGTTTTGTTTGCTTAATTGGATAGATTACTTGTACAGCGCGTATGACATGTGAGCCTTGGCAGCACATCGCGTCACGTGACGTAGCACGTACCACCGCGTGAGCATGACCAATGAGATGTGATTGGTGAAGCCTGGGCTTTCCAAAATTTGCGCGGCGCGCGTATGAAACGTGACTTGTACACCACATTTCTAAGGGCGAAAATTATGCCGCAGTAGCGCAGCTGTTGATTTACCAGGTAAGTAGCTTACGCTTCTCAGGTAGGCGTACTGTGCTCAAAACTGACAAACAGATCAGATCTCAAGCGCTACAACACTCGGCAGACGTGGATCGCAGCTCGTTCCATCTCGCTCGGCCACACGCGTAAAATGGAAGGCAGAGGCGCCAAAGTATGTTAGCGCTGGCGTGTATATCTGCAGCCAGCCTTTTCTGTTGTATACCAACATACTCTCTAGCTACGAAACATTCGACTCCGCTCGCTCCTCGCCCTACCCCATGCGATGCTTAACGACCTCAACGAGAGACGACCCGCGACGGCCATCCTCGCTAGCCCCGCGCGCGCTATCACTGGGCAATGATGTCCTAGAGGAGCATCGTAATATACCAGCGAGGGCCGTATAAGTATATACTTTAATATAAGCTCTATTACTACTATTCGTTCGTATACCCCTCTACCTGCCGCGAAGATTACTACGTATAAAACCTAGCTAGCCTATACTAGACCGCGATGTTGCTCCTTTCCCTAAACCCTTCTATACGCTCCGCCGCTTCTAGCCTATAATTAGAGGATAGAGTGCGGATTATTAGCTTTCATCCTCCTCGTTCACCAACAGCAGCGGCTAAAAGCGACTAATAGATAGTGCGCGCTATACTTACTTCTTACTATTATCTAAAGATAGAATACAGCAAATACGTTATATACGACTGCTACTATTATCTAGTTTAGCACGCTAACAATAGCAACTCTTATAATACCCGCTAGACTGTCTTCTTCCTTTGGCGCCATATCACTGCTTAAGACCAGCCCCTTCTCTAAGCTCACTTCTGACCACGTTCTAGAGATATATAAGCATCTTTCTATTATAGACTTATACTACCTTACGCTAACTAGCTATAAAACTATAGCCGCTCTTTATAAACTATATAAGCATATCTAGCTTATATCGCCTAGCTTAGCCTAAGGCTTCTATCTACTTAAAAGCATAGCTGACCCTTAAACACCCTTCCGTTCCGTCGCTCTTATAAGCCTATAAATTAATAGGGCTAGCCCTAAGGACCTATATCCTCTACTAAGAGGTTCTAAGGGTAGTAAAACTATAGAGACTACTCTAGAACAGTATTTACTAAAACATCTGCCATCTAACGCCGCCTAGGGTGTATAAGATATGGTTGATAAGGCGTATAGCGTATACCGTGCTAGTGTTTATGCCTCTATATATATTAGCCTTGCTTCACTCATGCTTGCAGCTACCCTAGCGAAGAGCCTNAAGTCTATCGAGTGGCTAATGGCTGGCACCGGCCTCGAGTCCACGCCGCTAAATCTCCTCAAGCTATGGAAGTGGCAGTGTTGGGGATGGAAATGATCATACCGCTGACGGAGCTGTCACTCTTGGGCCACCTGCGCCATCTACGCATCCTTCGAATGCGCGATTT